AATTCTAAATGCAAGATGTTTTCATGTTTATATTAGTATTCAAAATAATTGGTGCAACAGGATAATGTTAAATCTCAGAGACTCAACACCTATCATCCATCAAATTTTCACAACCTACGCAGGAACAAAGCTAGTAAAATTTATCCTAATGTCGTCAGCTTCAAAAATTATGTACTTGTGCAGTTGTGCCCAAAAAAAAAATCTACCTCAGTGGATCTTCTATGTAATTTGATATTTTGAATAGTGCATAATGATTAAAGTATAAGCAATATAATTTATCACATAAAAAAGGACAGACACAGAAAATAAATTAAATGTTGTAACAAATAAAGAATAAGTTGCACACATTAAAAGCCGCAAGCTGCCCAGGTTCACTCTCTGCAAATTCTTGAACTAATTCGCTCCCTTTCTTCCCGTACATTTCTTACAATTCAAACGGGTCAAGCACTGATCAAAATTTCCTGCAGTCACCTGAAGCATTTCATCAAACATGTAGAGCGCATAAATCCAAGAGCTGCTTAAAATGTAAAAATGAAATCGTAACTACGCACCTATTTGCTTAGATTGGAAATAGGGTAGTTCCCACACAAGAAGTTGAAGCGTAAATTGACTTTCTGCTTCGCCAAATTGGATTTGAGTGGTTTTGGAGGGAGTTTCTTCAAAATCAGCCGCCAAATTGGAAGTTTAAAATTGGTATAAATTTAAAATATCGGGAACGTACAAAGAGGTGGGTGATATTTTACCTGGACCTCATAAGTTTAAGAAAGAGGCAATAAGACGCACTTACTTTAGAGAAATATTCATTTGGGTCCTTAGATTTAGTAAATAGATGATTCCAAGCATATTTTAAAAGATGAAAATGTTAAGTATAGTAGTAATAATTAGGAAAAACTACACAGTATAGCCCACTCTAAATAATAATAGCCCTCAAAACGCATAATTTTTTATATCAATATATGCCATACAAAAATATACATATTTTATACATAATCAGTATATATTTTTTGTATATTGGTTAGTGCATATAACTAATTTTGGTTGACCGGCCAAATATGTAATTTTCCTTTCCGGTTTCTCTTATGAGTCAGACTATAAAAAAACATTATCATAGAATATGTGGTTAACGTTCTAAAGCCTTTTTAAACTTGATTTGAGGTGTTTTAGATTAGGAGATTGATATTTTCAAAAAAAATAATAAGAATTGTGCTCCTTGTAGCGTTTGTTTTTGTTGCAGTTAGGGAATTTTGGAGAAAATTAGTTTTCTCTTGAAGATAATTTTGGAAAAATATTGTGTTCGAGAAGCTATTTTTTCGATAAAATTTGTATTTCTGAAAATCTATCTTTAGAATTGTTGTTAAAAGTTTTATTTCCATAATAGAATAGATATTTTTCAAAAACAAATTCAGTTTTCAAAAACTTTCTAAAAGTTGTACTAACTTCGTTCCAGTTTATTTGAACATATTTCCTTTTTAGTGCGTTCCAAAAAGAATGACCTTTTTTTACATTTAGAAACAATTTTGCTTAAACTTACAATTCTACCCTTAATGATAAGCTTTTATAACCACACAAATACTCTGGGGCCCCTTTTTAATTGTTTAGGACCACAAATTCCAAAAATTTTCATTTTTTCTTAAACTTCGTGTCCAATCAAACAGGTTCATATAAATGGGAATGGAATGAGTAATGGTTATTACATTAAGCAAAACCAAATCATGATTATGCCACTTAGTTAATTTATTTGCTTTTTGATTATGTCCATTCTCAAAAAGCTTATGCCTTTTTTCTACGACAAAGAGCCAAATATACTTCTCTACTTTCGAAAATGGTCTAAGAATACCCCCGTTATATTATTGGGTTATCTATACTCCTGCAGTCATACTTTGAGTTCAAATATACCCCTCATTTAAACGGAGGGACACATGTCATCATCCTGTTGATCAATTCTAAATATCTCCTAATTAATTAAAAAGAACCATTACTCATACCCGAAAAATAATTTTTAAAGTAAATTTTTTTGTATAAACTGAAAAAAAACTGAAATTATTTTTACTAAAAACTGAAAAAAACAAAAAAAAAAATTTTCAGTTTTTACAAAAAAACTGCTTTAGAAAAAACTGAAAATATTTTCTAAAACAATGTTTTTGTAAAAACTGAAAAACAAAAGGCTGAAAATAAATTTTTTAAAGCAATATTTTTTGTAAAAACTGGAAAAAAACTGAAATATTTTTTTACTAAAAACTGAAAAAAAATAAAAATATTTTTTTCCAGTTTTTACACAAAAACTGCTTTAAAAAAAGCTGAAAAATATTTTCTAAAATAATATTTTTGTAAAAACTGAAAAAAAAAACTAAAAAGTAATTTTCTAAAGCAATGTTTTTTCAGTTTTTAGTTAAAAATATTTCAGTTTTTTTCCAGTTTTTACACAAAAACTGCTTTAAAAAAAGCTGAAAAATATTTTCTAAAATAATATTTTTGTAAAAACTGAAAAAAAAAACTAAAAAGTAATTTTCTAAAGCAATGTTTTTTCAGTTTTTAGTTAAAAATATTTCAGTTTTTTTAAGTTTTTAATTGCTTTAGAAAATTGCTTTTCAGTTTTTTTTTCTAGTTTTTACAAAAATATTGTTTTAGAAAATATTTTTCAATTTTTTTAAAGCAGTTTTTTTGTAAAAACTGGAAAAAAAAAATATTTTTGTTGTTATCAGTTTTTAGTAAAAAAATAATTTAGTTTTTTCCAGTTTTTATAAAAAATAATTATTTTTCGGGTATGGGTAATGGGTCTTTTTAATTAATTAAGAGATATTTAGAATTGACCAACAGGATGATAACACGTGTCCCTCTGTTTAAATGAGGAGTATATTTGAACCCAAAGTATGATTGCAGGGGTATAAATAACCCAATAGTATAATGAGGGGTATTCTTAAACCATTTTCGAAAATAGAGAAGTATATTTGGCTCTTTGCCCTTTTTTATGTCACTCGTGATGAATGCCTTTAAATTTTTGTCAAATTGTTATGATGAATATTTTATCTATACCCTTTCCAAATTCCAATCTTCTTTATTGAGGGAAAGAGTGACTACGTGTCAAATTGCCAATGGAGAATTTCAACAAGTGGCAGTTTGTGGCCTGTGGTCCTCTTTAATTGGGACTCCACCGGTCCACCCAATAGCCTATCAAAATCTAAAAGAAGAACAATCTTGCTAAAAATATTCTAAAATAAAAGAATGTTTGATATAGAATCAAATAGAATAAGCGCTGGGAGGGTGTTGAAGATATAATAACATAATAAAAATGTATTATTTCTAACAACTTCAATTCTTAGATGAGGTGATCACATATTTTTAGCAAAAGTCAATGAGTTTTTCTAGATTAGCATTCTATTTTGAATTAAGATAATTTTGCTATTTGAGATATTGTATGATCTCCCCTTTTGTTTATACTTTGATAATTTGTTTTAGATCTGAAATTAATCTGCAGGATTGTAATTTTCTCAATAATAGATACTGAGCAGCTCGGTGCACTAAGCTCCCGCTATGGCGGGATCCGGAGAAGAGCCCGACTATAAGTATCTATTGTACACAGTCTTACTCTATCTCAATATTAGGTACTGTTATATGATAAAAGGTAGAAATTGGTACACCATGTCAAGTAAGGAGAGAAGAAAGAACCAAAGGTTTCAAATCAAAGTTTCAGTATACACTAAAATGGCAATGATTAGCCAATAGCCACTTAAAGTTATGGTTGCCAATTTGCCCGGAGAACGGGAGTCTTGGAGCAACAATAAAGTTGTCTACGTGTTACCTATAGATCACGGGTTCGAGCAGTGAAAGCAGCTCGAACTCTCCCGGACCCTGCGTGAACGCGGGATGCCTTGTGCATGGGGCTGAACAACTTTCACATAATTGGAAATCCATGACTTCATTATTATTCATGCTTTCTGGTCAAAGTAAGGATCTCATCCCAACCTCAAACCTCCTTTATATCTTCTCAACTTCTCAAGTGTAACAAAACACTATAGTCTTTTCCAGGCATCATTTTCAGTACAATCAAAAGATCAATGCCTTCTACAAATTCAACTTTACACTAACTAACCTCAATTGGAAGGCTCTTCTTGATCAACTATTTCACTTAAGCAGCGAATTAAGATGCTGAACGACATCTTTCATGCACGGTCTCTCTGCCTTTTTTTCTCTTAAACATGCAAGTGCAAGCTCCAAGAATGTATTCATACCAGTCATTACCCGAGTCAAAGGCTCCTCCTCGCCAAGCAAGCGTCTGTCCACCACTTCTGCAACGGAACCATTGTTTGCTCGCTGAATAACATAAACAACCAAGTTGACACTATCTTCGTCTCGTGAGAAGTCAACTGCCTTCTGAGAAGTAAGAAGTTCTAGTAACACAACCCCGAAACTGTAAACATCACTTTTATCAGTTAGCTGGTAGCTACGAAAATATTCAGGATCCAAGTACCCTAACGTCCCCTGAGCACAAGTGGAGACGTGACTCAACCCCGGACAAGCCAATCTTGATAGCCCAAAATCTGAAACTTTGACATCGAATTCTTTATCCAGGAGTATGTTTGTAGATTTGACATCTCTGTGGTAGATAGGAGGGTAAGCAGCTGAGTGAAGATAAGCCAATGCTTCTGCAGTTTGTGAAGCAATTTTTAACCTTGTTTTCCAGTCAAGAAAGGTCGAATACTTTCCATGTAAATGATCATGTAGGGTACCATTGGAAATGTATTCGTAAATCATCAAAGGCTGTTCAGCTTCGACACAGCAACCTAAAATCTTGACCAAGTTCCTGTGATTGACTTGAGAAAGTATCTCTACTTCATTGAGTACTTGTTCAGTGCTCTTCACATTTCCTACTTTGGCTGACTTTACTGCTACAATAGTTCCATCGCGAAGCTCTCCCTTATAAACTTCTCCAAAACCACCATGACCCAAGATTCTGTCTTTTGAGAATCCATTTGTAGCTTTCTTTATCTCCTTGAGACAAAACATCTTGGCTGGTTTTCCGCCGTTGTTTGATTTTAGTATGTCTTCTCTTGTCTTGGCAAGTCTAGCCCTGGTTGAAAATCTACCTGATCTTTTCAAGGTCACTGCAATCATCACAATAGTGAAAGCCAAAAACAAAACAATCCCTATAGACATCTTTAATACAATTCCAGAATGTTTCTTCTTCTTCTTCTTCATGCAAGTTCCTAAGGTTTGGTTCCAATAATAGTCACGATTGCAAAAGCAGCAAAAGACACCATTTTTACCAGAAGGTGAACATGTAGAAGCACCAGAGCAATCAGATTGTGATCTACAGTGTGGTTCAGGTGGTGGAGACCATTGAATTTCCAATCCTTCCTCCCATTCATTAGCCGGCTTCTCAGCATCCAAGTGTAGAATGCTTCTAAATGCTCTGCACCCTGAGCTATGAAGGCGTATCTTGTACGCCGAGGGCATACCTCCAGCGACAAAAGTGCAGCATGGATCAAGACCACTTGCACATTGAAGTTCCCTTTTAGCATCTACATGTCCAGAGCTATGCAGATATTTGTGGCACAAACTAGAAGGTGTGCAATTTAAAGGAGATATCAGAAGCCGAGGAGAACAATTAAATAAGAAGATAGTGTTAGAAGAAGTAACGTTAAAAGGAAGAGTCTGGTTCAACCATAGTCCTTCACTAATTGGCATGTCTTGTGTAACACATGTACCAGGTAGCCAGGGTGATGGTTGCACCACCATACGCCGGAATGAGGCCATAAATCTGAGGATGACATAAGAGCTTCCGTTAAGTGTATCAAGATAGAGTTTTTGAGAGTGAGGATTACAACGAATAGAATAGTCACGGTTGCCACAGTCAGGATTTGTGCTCAAAGGATATGGAACTTCTAGAGAACCACAGTTTGGACATGTCTTCTGGGAATAAGAGTAATGAAAGAAGTGGAGTAACAGTGAGACATACAAGTGAGTTTTCCTCATGTGAAGTATAGTCATGGTCATATTGAGAGCAATGAACAAGGTGAAAAGATTGTGGTAGAAAGGATGTCAAAGGTAGGTAAATATAGGCAAAGAAAAGAGAATAAAGTGGGTACAACAACAATGAATAATTGAATATGCCTCGGTCCCAAACAATTTGGGGTCAGTAATACGAATCTATCATTCCTTTCATTTAGCTCAACTCATATCATCATCATTACCAAAATAAAAAAAAGTGCAAGTAAAAAAGATATATATATATNTCTAAAACCTATTCCAAACAAGTAGGTATCACCTATATGGATTTTTCTCTTCCATAAAAGTAGGTATTCCCTTTTAACGCCTTCCCCAATAAAAGTTTCATACCTACGTACCGGTGTATCTATAGGTCGGCGCAGGACAAAAGAGAATAAAGTGGGTGAATGATTTTTTTCCAGAAAAGGTAGTAGAAAGAATCCAGTTAGACAAAAAGATTTTGGCAATCATTGGGCTAAGGGATTCTTATCTGAAGATGACAAAGGGCAGAATATTGATAGTATATCTGCAATTCAATTACCACTTGCGCGGAATGAGGTCTCTAATCTTTGCTTATTAAAGAAAGAACTTTGTCTAAAAAAGGAGAGTGACAGAGAAATGAATTCTAAGGATGATTTCAGTTGTTCATAAAGAATTCGTAAGTTATCAACAAATATACATGTCTAGCAGTTCACAATTACTTTATCATTGTATAATTGCAGCCTGCGAGAAGTATGTCAACAACTGTGCCAATAATAAATAATGAGTTTGAACTATACAATATAGGAGTAACATATTTAGGGACATTTTCCTGGTAAAATACCAAATCAGGAGCAGATCTCTAAGTATTCTCAAAATTTATACAATGGCTGTGCACTTCTGCAGGCGACAAATCAATTATAACATGAGTATAGTGGTTATCCTTCAACGACTTTTACAGCAGTTCTGCACCAAAAGAAAGAAGAAGAATGTACAGTAAATACATCAAATGCTGAGGATAATGAAGCTAACTATTGAGTTCAATCAAAGAAATAAGTCAATTAATTTTTGAATGTTCTAAAAGCTGACTACTCACCCGAATGGGCTTTGTTTAATAGATAGCAGTTCAATATCCATCTGTAGATTAAAAAATCAGTAGGTGAGAAGTAATAAAGATACAAGAGCCGTATAATAATGTTAAACAGATAAAAACGTTCATTTAGAGAATAAGAAAATAATGACAGATAAAACTTGCAAAAAGGTATATGATAAATTTTGAGACGTCCATTTGGTGTAATGGTATTTGGGGGCTTATATACGACATTACAGTCTCAGCACAAATTTAAATCGAAGTTTTCTCTACATTCGTTCGTAGCTTGAGGTTTTCATTCAAGCTACAAAGTTGCTAGTTTTATCAAGTTACTGCAATATAACCACTTCGTAGCCATATGATAAAAAACACAAAGACACACATTATCATAAGGGGGAGACGCTGTGTAAGAGAGAGCAACATTATTTCTTTGTCAAAAGAAGGATGTTATGTTTTCCATCTCTCTAAAAGGTTAAGAGTTCCAGAAATTGATCATTTGGTGCGAAAAATTGAAAATTATTGCATAAATAACATTTTGCTTCCAGTTGAGAACCTTGAAATGAAAGCGTCCTGACATTGTCCATCTTGTGCATATATTCTCACCGTCAGTGCACTTAACACTTTATAGTTTTGTTTTCACCTATGTGGTCCCAAACCTTTTTACGATACCTGGCCTAAACAAATTGGTGGCCACTTTTAGTAAAATGATTCTTTTTTTCAAAATGGACTATCCTAGCGGTATGATATCCTACTTTCTATTGAAACTTATTGTGGTTCCGTTTTCTGACAGATCTCTTCTCATCTGGAGAAGCCCGGTATTGACTAAAGTCTTCAATCTGCAAATGACCACTCTCGCTCAATCTAAAGAAAAACGTTTACAAAATAAACAGATGAAACAATATAGGCCATGGTTTATGTTCTTAAATCATGAGATGGATCCTTGTACCACTATACTTGACTAAGCGTGCAACAACAACAACAACAAACCCAGTGAAATCTCACAAGTGGGGTCTGGGGATGGTAGTATGTACGCAGACCTTACCCCTACCCTGGGGAGGTAGGGAGGCTATTTCCGAAAGACCCTCGGCTCAAGAGAAACTCGACTAAGCATGCACTTGTTATATTTCACAAGTCTGAAGAAGCGCACTAGTACATCAATTAAATCTGAAGAAAAACAGTCAGTTTGGAGAAGGACTTAAAGGATGTTCATATGACATTTCTTCTGGAACATTCTTTTTCACAAAGAACAAAGCTACCCAGTGTCCCAACTGTCCATATAACAAAGAACATCTTAAAGATTAGGCTATCTTTGTTTTTGGAGGTTTACACTTTGATCCCACAAAGCCATTTTATGAGGCTGATGTAAAAAGAAACTTTTGCACACCCACATTGTTTTTCCCATAAAGTTAGAATGCTGTACATGTCGAATACGCTTTTCTGTTGATAAGAATGTTCTGCATCTGTTAGATGCCAATAAGAGTTTCTATCAGCACAACCTCTAGTTTATGGTGAAGAGACTCCCACTAGAAAGGTTTTCCGCTAGCCACATATTTGATTCTGATAAGTATTACTACTAAAGTAATGACGGTAATGATCTTTATTCTTTTGTAGCCAAAAATTATGACAGCAGTCAGCTGCATTCCGCAAACCAACTAAAAGGTAAAAAAGACCATAATAGATGCAAAAAACAGTTGAATTCAAACGGCATTCAGAAACTATTTGTAACACATGAATGCAAGAAAATACCTCAATTGTTGCATTTGGAGGAATTTCTTGCACCCCCTTTTTCCCATAAGCTAGTTCTGGAGGAACTATGAGCAGGCGCTGCAAAAACAGAATATTTTGAGTTCAAATGTTTATGGTAGCCATTAAAGTAAATAATCCATTATTATCAACGAAACTATGGAAGGGGAGCCTTGGCGTAACTGGTTAAATTGATGCCATGTGACCAGGAGGTTACGAGTTCGAGCCTTGGAAACAGCCTCTTGCAGAAATGCAGGGTAAGGCTGCGTACAATAGACCCTTGTGGACTTGTGGTCCGGCCCTTTCCCGGACCCTGCGCATAGTGGGGGCTTAGTGCATCGGGCGCCTTTTTTTATCAATGAAACTATGGTAAGTTAAATTTCATCGTCAGAAGGCATGATACACTGAGTTATGACCAAGTAGTTGTGGTCCAGGACTCTCAGCTCAGGGGAAAAACATGAACCTTAAGGACCTTCTGATAATAAAGTGCGCGATGATCACATTAATTTGACCACAGTTATACTTTCAATAAATTATGCCTCAGTTCCAAACTAACTACTTAGGGTTGGCTGTATGGATCCTCTATATCCATTTTGCTCTATTCGGCCACATTTCATTTCAATATTGAATAATGCATTCTTATAAGGCAAATAGAGTTTCTTTAAAACTAGAGATTCTCTAACTCTCACATTTATTCTTATATTGACACATAAGTCTCCATTAAGATCAGAAAAACTCGCACAAAAACCAAACTTAATGAGAGTGTAACAATAACAACTAAGCCTTATTATCAACTAAAATAAAATAGAAAACAAATTCAAGTTTTAGCATGTTCCTCTCCTCAGGGAACAGCATAAGAGAAGGTTGTGCCGTCCTCTACGAAATAAAAAAATACCCTGCATGTGATGAAAGTACAATAAGCTAAATGCCCCACCTGTCCTCCTACTCGCATCCCTTGAACACCGAGATCTAATCCTTTAAGTACTGTTCCCCTCTCTGATTGACCAACGTCAAATCCATATGGCTACAGGAAGTGAAGGATATTGTATAATAAACATGCTGATATCCCAGAAACAGAGAAAGTAAGTCATATAGCTTCATATACAATAGATGCTCAGAAAACCAATCCATGACAAAAACAAACTAATCCCCCCAGATTTTGGGATTATAATCAAATCAAGTACACAACACCATAACCATAATGTTGGCAAACACAAGCAGTTCGAATTAACGATATCGTAAATCAAAGCAGGCAAAGTAACTGTAGAGAGTAAAGTAAGAAAAGCTTCTACAGCTCTTGATCCCTCTTAGATAATGGATGTTCCCGCTAACACTTTCAACGGGATGAATACAAAGACTCCAAAAATTGGCATCGCAAAAAGGGCAATATACTTTTGGGCCCTTGCTTTACTCAATGTATTCAGAAACTCATAGTTTTCTAAGAAATGGTTGCTCCTGGAGTAGACATCATATAGAACGGGATTATGAGAATTGACAAAATTTCCAAATCAAGGACCAGAAAATAAACATGAAGTGGAAGGATTCCAATACATTGGCATTGTCTGGTGGTACGGAAATGACATGGATCTATTAACTGAGCTAACAGGAATGTCATAACACAATTATCGGTAAAGGAAGTTTTAAACAAATTATTTCAAGCGAAGGTGCATGAGTTTCTATTGTACTAATTGCTACTTTTCCAAAGTGTAACTTGACTAATCATGCAATAGTATTCATTGTTTTACACGTCCCAGGTTTCCACACATTGAAACTTGTATCTGATATTGCCATACAAATTCTGAATACAAACTGAAAAAATAAAGCGGATCAGTCTTACTGTTCCCCCACCAACTCCCATTCCTTGTCTACTTGTCATGAACGTGATGTTCCTCCATTTAGCAACATAGTGGACCTACAATTATTACATAATACAATTCAGATTTTAAGAAAGCAGCCTGTAAATCAAGATTTCTGACAAATATATTATGCTTAAGTATGAATGAAGAGACTGTAAAGCACATCGAGACTACATACACTACATTTCCAAATATATCATATAATTAAAGACTCAAATTCTAAGGTTTTGGGGGCAACATCACCATGTGACATGTCTAACTATTACGATAAACAAAGCGATTACCAACATAGTAAATAATTCATTGAAGGTCCAACGCAGTTCTGGTAAGCTATGAACTAAATAATTTATATTGATGAAGCAATCCCTGAGATGTTGTTTTTAGCTTCATTTGACCTCTTGGTAAAGGTTTGGAAGTTCTGGAACTTCTATCTGAAAGCTCAAAATAAGAAGTTACATTTTACATATACAGTGCGCTTGATGGTGGATTATTAATAATGTGATGTTGCATATTTATCCTATAGACACATGTTTTTAGAGATAAATAAAACATTGTACTTAGATAACTCAATTCAACTTTGCCACAACCGTACTGCAACTCTAGATCCCTTCACGGCTTCAGCTCCATTGCCGACCTTCAAGTCATAATACCTGAGATATTTACATCAAAGAATGAAGTGAATAATCAACACATAAGACAGTAGTGGAAAAAATCGGGCTACTTCTAGCCTCGAAACTAGACTGGATAAAGATATGTATTTCTTTTTTCTTTTTCTTTTTTTTTTTTGGGGG